GGGAGGAGGGAGGGAGAAGGGAGGCAGGTAGGGAAGGAGAGAGAAAATGAGAGAGAGGGAGGGAGGGAGGAATGGAGAGAAAGAGAGAGAGAGAGGGGAAGGGGGGAGGGAGGGAGAAAGGGATGGAGAGAGAAAAAAGAGAGAAGAGGAGAAAGAGACGAAGGGGGAGACGTAATAAATAGATAGAGAGAATGACAGATAGATAGCTAGATCGTGAGAGAGCGAGAGCGAGAGCGAGAGCGAGAGCGAGAAAGAGAAAGAGGAGTGGAATAGATAGAGAGAATGACAAATAGACCGATAGAGTGTGTGTATGTTTTCGTGCCGTAAATGGCAAAATGAGTTTGATGTTGCTACCAATCATAATGAAAATAGATATAATGATAATATATATCAATATCATTAGGAATAGTGACTCTGACCATTAAAACAATAACAATAAAAATGGCCTCTGGAATACTAATATAGCAAAATAGTATAGATAATCTTGTCGTAGCCATCGTTGTTCACTCTTTAACTGATATAATGCTGATGAAAATAGATATAGGAACATCAACACTGAGGAATTGAATCGCAATATTCATTACCACAATATCACAGCAAATAGGACTTGCAGCGATATGCAATCTTCCAAAAACTATCGACCACAGAAACAGCCATCAAGAATTATGGGCCCAGACGCAGACACATAAAAGGCCGCTGCTGGTGCGATGACCGCCGACATGACTACAAAACAAAAAAGCGCTGCCTTGGGATCTCGTCGTAAAATCTCAGCCGACAATGGCATCATCCCGTTTTCTTTAGTGCGTGCGCCTCCGTTTTCTATGAGGATGTGATGGGAGGCGCGTCGCATCCATTAGGATATTGCTATAACATCAAGATTTTATCATTATTTTCGTATGAAATATAAGGAATATGTTAACGTTCCTTATAATGGCAGTGGCTGGGTGTGTAATGAGAATCATTAAAGTCTGAATAGCATTTCCGAACGCACCGTTTCCTCTATTTCACAAGAGAGAAAATGTTCATATTCATAGATTGGAAGAGAAGCGAATGGCAGGCGCGCGTTCTGTATATTTGCACACCACATACTTCTGCGGGAAAAGGACAGGAAGACAACCGCTCGCCTGTCCGCTAATCCAAGCTTCTCTTTTCCTACTATACACTTGTTATCATATTTATTACGAATACATATTTTTATATGGTATGTGTATGTGCGCGGGTCGCGCGTGTGTGTGTGAATGAAAATGAAAACAGTGCACACACACACACACACACACACACACACACACACACACACACACACACACAACACACACACACACACACACACACACACACACACACACATATATATATGTGCTTGCGTGTGTGTGTGTGTATGGATATATATACATACATATTATATTATATATATATATATATATATATATATATATATATGTA